ATTACACCGAAGATATAAAAAAATGCTACACAATTACAGTCGTGTTTCATTGCATCTCATCAAGCGATTAATACTCTTGTATTAATCGCTTGACTTCCAAACTTTAAAGCAATTTTTATGCACGGACCAAATAAGTGATCACACACACACACACACACACACACACACACACACACATATATATATATATATATATATATATATATATAAATGGACACTGAGGTCAAAATCGAGTGGCGACAATTTGTTTCATGCGTAAACGCAATCTTCAGACCATGTGTGACGTGTGGTATATAATATAGCACACAACAATATATATATATATATATATATATATATATATATATATATATATATATATGGATGTATTGTTCGAAATTTACAAATAATGCTTCTCGGATGATGAGGACATTTTGTCAGAGTCTGTCGAAAGTTAATTTTGGAATAATTAGATTGCAAACTTTCAGCTTAACAGTTCTACGAAACTCACCATTAGCCTCTACCTACCGTGAGGATGACTTTTGAACGTCGAAAGTTTGGACCACGTTTCTTTCAAAATTAACTTTGGACAATTTCTGGCGGAATTTCCTCCTTATCTGAGAAGGATTAATCGTAATTTGGAATGGTCAATTAATAATATTAATCGACACAAAATGTCTGCTGACTTTAATAACTTTTGCCTTAAGGAAAATATGTTGCCTAAATGCACACACGCAATATATATATATATATATATATATATATATATATATATATAAGCAAATATATGGATATAGATCCGACAGTATGAAGAAAAATATACGGAAAAACAATTATTAATGTTAATTATGTTTTATGAATATGTCCTGAAGATGGTCTATTAGACCGAAACGTCCGATGTTGACATTATATTAGCATTAAAGCAGCATAATTGCATATTAGGATTTTTGTTTGTTTGTTTTCCGAAATCATGGGGCGTAGAGATTGCGTAGAGCATGAAACTCCGAGTTGTTCAATCAGCGTAGGGTATCATGTTTTATATATATATATATATATATATATATATATATATATATATATATATATATATATATATGTGTGTGTGTGTGTGTGTGTGTGTGTAATTCTTCCATTCTTTTTCGATGTTCAGTCTTTGTATTTATACCCAGGGTGGCTGATTTGCAGACGAAGCCACATTTACAGTAAGTAGCTTGATTTCTAGAATTGCGTACAGGAAGGTTTCTGTTAGATTGTAACGCATGAAGATGATCGAGATGTGATTTCTAAACATTCTTGATCTCCTTTATGGCAAACAGATATCCACTCAGTTCCATTCGTTGCTAGGGTTTCAACTGAAGAAAGAGCGTATATTGACAGACTTGAGGTTGTCTTTGCAGCGGAATAAAGATTTACCTACATTGCATGTGCATTTATAAGGCGTTTTGTTTTTCAATGATTACTCATGCGTATGACTTGACCGGCACATTAAAGATGAGATTGAGTCAAGAATGATTCAGCCTCATCTTAGTATGTATTGCGTGTGAGTGTGAGTGTGAGTGTGAGTCTATGCATGCCAACTTTTGTTATTCCAGATTGAAGGAGATGGATGTAACAGTTCTTCGAACACAGCCTACTAAACACTGCTTGTCACAGCGGATTGGTTAGCAGAAGCGTACATTTTGGAGTTGGTGTGGCAATTCTACACAGAATAATTCATGAAGATCTGAACATGCGCAAAACTTGTGCAACTGTTCCCAGGGTGCTCAACATAAGTATGGGTCTTTCCTTATGTTCGTCAGTGACGAACATAAGGAAAGACCCATACGTAACAGTAGAGAGATAGTTGGTGATTATCAAAACTTTCCCTCTGTGAGTTTTCGTTATTTCTTAAACTGAAGAAGAATCTCAGGAGCAGTCGTTTTGAAGACAATGTGAAGATGAAGGAGGCTGTGACAAGGGTCCTGGACATCTTCATTTTGAATGAATTACATGGAGTCTTCACAAAGTGGCTGGAGCGCTACAACAAGTATATTGAAATCAGAGGATCCCTACCTTGAAGGAGATTAGTTTTGTGATTCTTTGAAATGAATAAATATCTCTCCTGAAAATGTCTCTCCTGAAAATGTCTCAAAACTTCTGGAATGCACTTCATAAGTGAATCCTACATTTTTGCTTTTTAAATAAATCCAAAAGATATTGTGTTAGCTTACAGTGCGAGTACTACTGGTACCATGTAACTCACTACTACTTGTCGCGTGGTTGTGTCGTCGGTAACGAAACTGGTTTTTAGTGAAGAGGGTGGCTAAAAACCTAGCAGAATTAAAAGCAAGATTTGGCATTTGATATTATGGGGAGACTTCTAAGATACGTTTATCTCGCAGAATCGACATGTCAAGGAAATGGAAGCAGCCATTGACAGGAAATGTAACCAAAATATCAAATGAAGTGATTCGTGAGGTTTGCAATTCCATCTGTTCACATTGTCAACAGTGTCTTTATCAAAATTTGCCGAAATTAAAAATGATTCCATATTTGTCTTCTTTAATTTTAATAAGAAGAATTTCACCTCTTTTAATGAACATTTTATTTTATTAATAGAGTGTATTACTTCAAACGTTATTATCGCAGATTCCCCATATTTGAAATCGACGCCTAATTTTGATTTCGTAAACAGTGTGTATTACGTCTATCGACCTGAGCATTCGAGAAATCTTAATAAAGAAAAATGCATTTTCCAATAGGAATCGAGCCCGCGCTCTCTTTGTAGGGAAAAACCACCATTTGTCCCAATGTATTTTACCGCTCGGCCAAGGAGGATAATGTAGCTGCGAATGTCGTATTTTTCTTTTTTTAAGAAAGTATTTACATCCAGAGTTTTTTCAAAAGCTCCATATCTGGTCAGTTTCCTATCCGAAAAGAAAACAAACTAATTTCTAAAGAATTCATGCATTCAATTTAATAACGCTTGTAGTAATAAGTAGGTCAAATTAAAAATAAATCTATTAATTCTTTCATAAAGTGTATATACTTTTTTTGTCGGAAACCCTGTGTACGAATTTGTTCTGTCTTAAAAACGTTTTCACGATAGAACAATGGTGAGAAACGGAAAACTTTCGTTAGAAACAAAGAAAAGAGTTCTGGATTGCTATGTGATATCCATCTTCTTATATGGCAGTCAATTTTGGACAATCTCTCTATGGAGTAGGAGAAAACTGGAAGCAGCAGAAATATGGTTCTACAGAAGGATACTGAGTATTATATAGACGGAGCGAGTAAGCAACAAGGAAGTCTTAAAGAAAATGGTAACAGAAAGAACACTTCGACACAAAATCAGGAAAAGATAGCTGAAATTCCTTGGACATATAATGAGGAAAGATGGGTTGGAAAACTTAACCCTCACATGCCATATTGAGGTCAAGAGGGATGAGAGAAGGCAGCGAGTCACATGCCTGATGAGCTTGTGTGAATAGATAGCGGAAAGAGCCACATGAGATAGATAGAAAGTTCTGGAGAGCTATGATCGCCCATGTCCTGAATGGACGCGTTACATCGAAGAACTTTTTTTTTTTTTTTTTTTTTTTAAATAAAAAAGATATAAATTCTATAGATTTATCTTACCTTGACACGCGGATCATATTAATTAATCTGAATAATTTTCTAATTTGTAGTATCTTTGTCAGTCTGGAATAAAAATCATCCTGGGTATGACAATAAACTGCATCCGTCAGCAAAGCCTCTGATTGGACGGTTTTGAGGAGCGTGGAACCACCTCTTAATTGCTGTTGTTACCTGGTCCACCTTGACCCGGGGTGGCAGCACCTGTTAGGGTCCCAGCTATGGGCAAATAGTTAATCCCCAAACTGAGGTCAAAACACTATGAAGTATAAAAAATAGATTTTTGTAGTGGAAATGCCAGCAATAAAGTTTGAAAAAGAAATATTACCAGAAATACATTTAACTCTAGAAAAAAAACCTTTTACAAAAATATGTCAATGAAACCTGATCTACAAACTGATTTCTTACAAAGGATACATATTTTATTTATACGAACCTAGCCTAAAAATCTTGTCGGCATTAAATTGAGGTTGATATGCCGTAAACCAAAATTAAACCCAAACCAGGTGGTAGCACTTGTTAGGGTCCTAGCTATGGGCAAATAGTAAACCTCAAAATAAAATTCAACAGTAGATTTTTTCATAAAATAAGCAGTATTTTATGATTTAGAGAAAATATATTTAAAAAACATAGCTTTACTCTGAAAGTATAAAATTATGTATAAAATATCTGTAGTTGAAAGCATAAAATTACTTAGAAAATATTTAAATTTTCGGCATTAAATAACCCACAGAGATTGATATGCCGCTAAACAATCAACCAAACAAAAATCCATATTTATATTAAAATGACCATTACATTTTATCTGTTGTTGAAGGCATATAATTGCGTTCAAAATATATTTGGTTGAAGCCATAAAATTGTGTTCCAAATATGTTTACACAATAAAAGAAAATAAAAATTTCCGAAACATAAAACTCTAAACTTGTCCGATGCAAAAAATAAAGATATATTTATCTCAATCAGGGGAAATTATTTTGAAAATAGTTCCGTGAATTTTAATGGCACACCATTCAAAAATATAGATTATTAATGTTTTGTTTTTAAGACTAGTGTTTCATTTGTTTTTCTTCTGCTATTCGTACATTGTTCAAATTATGCTAAGCACTGAAAGTATTGCACTTTAAAAATCTCCAACACCTTTAGGGTGAAAATATTTTACGCGTTGCAATCGTTCACTAAAGTGTGGTATAAAAATAACACATACGTTGAAGCACGTTATTGTCGTCGACATTTCAACACGCTTAATCTCGTGACCATCAGCGCTCAAGATGGAAGACTTTCTTGTTTGTAATATTTGACATGATATACCAGGCTAATAATAATACGCTCCCATTTGCCAAATATATTCTGGCGAATGGCACTAAGTGCATTTCCTGTCTCAAATGCGACGAACTTCAGTTGAATTAATTGATTGAGATGTACTCAGAATTAGCAGAAGTTCTGGAAAAGGAGGGAAAAAGAAAGGGGAGAGAGAGAGAGAGAGAGAGAGAGAGAGAGAGAGAGAGAGAATGCAACCGAACGATTTGGGAGTGAGAAAGCAAAGTGAAAGATGGAAGAAGAAAGAAGAGGAATAATAATAAGAAAGACGAGAAATGGAAGAAGAAGAAGAAGAAGAAGAAGAAGAAGAAGGAAGAGGAGGAAGTAGTAGGATGGGGAAGACGAACAAGAATAAGAAAGAGTAGGAAGAGCAAGTAGAAGAAGGAGAAAAGGAACAAGAAGGAGGAAAACAACGAGGAGGAGGAGGAGGAGGAGGAGGAGAGAGGAGGAACAAGAAGAAGAAAGAGGAGGAAGAGAAAGGAGGAGAAGAAGAAGAAGAAGAAGAAGAAGAAGAAGAAGAAGAAGAAGTAAGAACTAGGAGGAAGAAGAGCAATACGAAGGAGGAAGAAGAGGGACAAGAAGAAAGAAGGGTAAGAACAAGGGGGAGGAGGAACGATGAGGAAGAAAGAGGAGGTAGAAAAAAGGTGGAGGAGAAGAAAGAGGAGAAGGAGGAGGAGAAGAAGAAGAAGAAATAAAATCAAATTTGTTCCCTTCTTTTCACGAATCTTCCGCTTTTGGTTGTAAACACGGAGCGGCTTGTGCTGCAAGTTCTCTACCAAACTCTTTCTTGTACCCCGTGGGCAAGTTTTACATTTAAGAAAATAGACACTGGTGAAGAAAAATTGATTCTTGAATAAAATGTTCTCAATAGTATGCATTTGTTCAGGAAGGCCTTCCTCGACTGGAACGTTGGCGCAACACAAACTTTTTATCTCCTCTTGTTTTCATTTAGTCTTGTGCCATACTAAGCTAAGCTTAGTATATATCAATAACATATATTTTTTTCCGGAACACAAGGCTATATTCATGGAGCACTCAGTGCGAACCAAATTCAGTAGCATTGCACTTATAATATATTCTAATGATCGAAACAAATAAAGATCTGTAGGTACTAAACCTGATGAGTTATGGGGGATGTAGAAAAACTTCCGTCCTAACAATCTTAATTTTCTTAGGGTTGTTTTGGAGGCTGTGACCTTGCATTGTCATACTTACCTTGTGTCGAAGTTCGCTTCGATCTGGGGAACTTGAAAATAATTCTAGTACCTCTCGTCCGCCTCAGGAGAAGTGCCGAAGCAGTTTTTGCGCAGTATTGCCGTTAAACCCACTTTAAACTAAGCTTGTGTCACATTCGGTTACATTGTCCTGCTGGAGAATAACATCTATTTTCTCTTTACCTAAGCAGGATACGTTCGACTTCATGCTTCGTTTACCCAATCAAGTTGCTAGCAATAGATGTCTACGGTGATGGTCCTTCCATGATTCAGTAGCTTGTAAAGGATGAAACTTTTCATATTTTTCTAGACACAAAGAAATGGTTTCTGTGGATGGACTTCAAGTTTTAGTGTTGGTACTAGTTTCTCATTTTGCTATAACTATTGCCATTTTCACTTTCTGTCAATATGCAAAACCTATTTTCCATCACCTGTAACAAAGTGATGTAAATACTACATTCCTGGTTAAAAGACTGTGGCGGACGACAGAATGTTGTGTTAGATTCTCAAGCGAAAATTCCTGAGGTTGTGGGTCATCCCACTTGACTTTGCCCCTTAAGCCTATAAAAAAGCGTGCATTTCTCTTGCTAGTCTCTTTTCTCTTTTTGTTTTTTTCCACTCAGGCTTTCAGATGTAGTCGTACGTACAGTTGGAGCACGGCTGCTAGACCCATGTGCGATTTTTCTTTATGTTTTTTTTTAGTGTTGAACTCACGCACACACGTGTCTATAGCACACTCTCATATACACACGTGTCTATCACGTTCACAAATTTCACACACATAAAAACGAATATTCTCTTACAGTTTAAATGTTTTTCTAGGTAATTAGTTTAAATGTTTTCTTCTTTTATTGCAATTATATATTCAGGTAATTCCTTTTTGTCAATACACGCACTTATTTGTCGTTTGTTTTATATTGTTTTGTTACTCATTTTTTACTTGGACTCACATTGACTCCGCAATAATTGTTTCGGGATAAATATTCCAGGAGATGTTTTTATTTAAACGTATTAACATCCCGTAACAAGGTATCCAAATTCCCTTTTTGTAAGTTTTCCTAATTAAACTCTGAAATGCACTAATTTCTTTAGAACCACAAGGAAACCTGTTTCAAAAGCAAAAGATGTTTACACATATGTTCTTTCTTAGTGAAAATCGCCAATAGTTTAAAATGCCGACAACGTTATTTTTCCCAAAAGCTTAGAAAATTCAAGAAACATTGTATTTAATCATTGCTTATGTATGTGGGTATGTATGAGAGAATCTGTGAGTGAACAAGTGAGAACGAAACAAAATAAAATTTTAAGAAATGTTATTTTCGTTATGAAATTAAGCGTGCAATTCAGAAAGGCCAAACGGGCCGTATGTGGC